GCCGTTCGGGACGAATTCTTTCCATCAGCGCGAGGACTGACCGAAATAAAAATTATTTTGTTCTCCAATCTGTAGGAATTTACCGGCGTGCTTCCTCTGAAGTCACACATCTGAATGAGAACTAATCAGTCCCCGATTTTGCTAAGAGAACTCACTGAATGGCTGTTTGAAATAATTTATCTCCTTCTTCTTATATTTGAGGTGCCCACGATCAATTTGTTGATCATTCTGGCTCCTGGTTTAAATTCAGAGTTTGCCTTCTCTTAGACAGGTTGCCATCCAAGGCTAGCGAGTCCCATCCACCCGGGTTGCTTGGGATGGCTTTGGTGGGGATTGAACTCCAGACCACCAGCTATTTCGTTTGAGACAGTTTAGTTTATTTATTATAAATATCTTGTGTTCAAATTGTTTTATTTTTGTGCTGAAAATGTATAATGCAATCAAAAACATTTCCATTTATTTGGATCAATAAAAGAATATTATCTTATCTTATCTTAAAGGGTTGTAGTTTAACGAGGGAATATTTTCTTTTTGTTTTGTTTCATTTACTTTTTTTATGTTTTGTACATTACTAGTTTTGGCTGTTTATAGTCTCATCATTACTAATTCGTGATATCTTCTAGCAGCTCTATCATTTCTTTCTTTTCTTGCTGTTGTTCTTCTTCTTTATTTTGAGGGCCCACTATCAATGAATTGATCATACTGCTCCCGCCTTTTCTTCTTTTATTTTCTCATTCAGCCTTACCTTTTTAACAAATACCTCTAATTCATTACCTTCATATCTTAAGGTTTCATTAGTTATCTATCTCATACAATGATAAAAATAAATATTTTATTTAGCTTGATAACAATGATCCAATGAAAAATTCCGACAACGCCTGCGACGTCACTGGTGCCAGGCTGTATCATCCAATGATGTTCCCTTGGGTTATCCAGCGGCGTGGAGAGAGGCGATTTGCTGTTGGGAACCAACTTATAATCCATGAGGAATAATCCCAGGCCATGTGGATTTCGTCCTCCGAAGCCCACTCCATCGTCTCATTGTTACGGACAGATGCCAGCATTCATGATGACCAGATAATTGAGCCCATGACAGATGAACCAACGACAACTGATCTCAAGGCAACCGACACATGACACGTGATCCCATGGACACGTGTGCACACGGAAAACTGACAACACGGACAAGGCACCAAGACAATTGAACGCACGGATAACTGAACACACCAAAACTAAAATTGAATAAAATGTGTAAAAAAATCCAAAGCTTCTAGAGAATGTACATATATATATTCTCTACTGCTGAAGTAGACACCCAGAACTTAAAATATAGTTTGAGAGAGCGGCAACAAAGTTTTATCCACGGAAAACAACGAAGCACATCGAACACACAATGCAACACTATTTTTAAAAAGTTTGTATCGTCAAAGTCATTATTTCGCTGAACTAGTTTAGGAAATACCTTAGTTTCGACCCATTTTTGCTTCATTTTTAAGCCTATAAGCTACTCACCATCACTGTAAATTGACTAAAATGAAAGTCAAAAGTGTGTATGGTCAATTATTTGTGTCTCATAATCATAGTGACAATACCACAAATCATAAAAATTCGAAATCCTGTGTTTGTTTTGAGTCATTAGAATCCTTCAAAATGATCAAGCTTCTACTAACGGTACTTAATTATAACTTATAATATAAACAAAGAAAAAATATTCTATTTTCACATTTAAAAATGTAATAAATCTATTATATTAAAATATCGGCATAGACGATACCTACATATTATGAAAATTATGATATCATGTTTTATTGTATTAGGTTTATTCCTACAGTTATAGTATAACATATACCACCCGGTAGAATATTATGTTTATATTATGATAATGTTATAATAAGTAAAGACTTAAATTATAATATTAAAGATATACATAAGAATGAGCTCTAGTGACATAACGCCAACGATCCGATATGTTTTAAGTACTTTCGGATTCATAAAAAACAATCATAGTTATTTTCTATTATTTCACGGAAATCGAATAAATTTAAATGCGCTAAAAGTATGTTCAATCCACTTTTATTTTATTAAAAGTTAAAGTTATATTATTATCAATTACAAACACATTTAAAGTATCAACTAAGGAACAATTTTAAGCATTTTATATATTTTTGAAATTTATGAAAAAATAAGAAAAATAAAAAAAAAATCATGCAAGGTCACTATAAAAAAAATCCATTAAAAGGATGTTATTGCAGAGCCAAACACTCACACCAATGATTCTTACACACAAAAAGCGACAGCTATCATTGATCCACAAAGAGTTTTAGCAATGTTTCTAGTTTGAATTGGAAACGAATTAAATGTATGGTGATGGATCATTTGACAAGGTACCAACATTACTTTACTAACTTTACAAGAGACATGACTAGGTTATTAATTAAATAAAACAAAATTAAGTGTCTATCAGGCATGTGTGCTTAGTACGCTCCTTTTTGGTAACGAAGTGTGGACCACATATGCCAGTCAGGGGGGAAACTCCACAGCTTCCATCAAAGATTTTTGCGCCACATTTTACGCTTTCGATGTCAGGACAAGGTGCTTAACACGGAGGTCTTGTAACATGCACAAATGTTTAGAATATTCTCTTTTCTTAGCAAACGCGCCTTCGCTGGTTAGGCCATGCAAAGAGAAAGGAGGAAGGCTGCATCTAAAAGATGCTGCTGTATGGAGAGTTGGCAGAAGGGACAAGACTTATTGGACGGCCACGCCTGAGATTTATGGACGTTAGCAAAAGGAGCATGTGGTAAGCCAAAATTGAAAACAACGAAAGGGAGCTCATTGCTAAACAACGTTTCAGCTGGCGAACAGCAGTGTATGAAGGAGTAAAAAAGAAGGAGATACGTGAAACGAGGCCCCTTGCAAAAAAAAAATATTAAAAAACACGGAAGTCAAAATCTTACCAGGTATCACAATTCTCCTGAGGAAAATGCAATCGAGATTGTCATTCTAGGATTGGCCTAATGAACCACTCTCCGAAGTGTAGGACTGCATAGCTATTCATCATCTTGCGAAGACGGAATGATGCCATATAGTATACATATGTATATATATATATATATATATATATATATATATATATATCATTTTATACATATATTTGGTAGTGTGTTTTTGGTAATTTTGAGTTAATGTAAAATAAATAAATATTTTTTACCACTCACAGAAGTGTAGGTCTGTATAGATATACATCATCTTGCAAAGACGAAATGATGTTATATAGTATATATATATATATATATATATATATATATATATATATATATATATATATATATCATTTTATACATAAATTTGGTAGTGAGGTTTTGGTAATTTTGAGTTAATGTAAAATAAATAAATATTTTTTAACATTTATGTTCCTAGCTAACAAAGTAAATGAAAATTTTGCTTTGTTCTTAAAAAAAAACAACATACAAAGTTATTTTATTACTTTAAATTTAATTAGTTTGTATTTAAAATTCACACTTGCTTCTGATGTTGCAGTGCAGTTCCCTTTTTCAAACTGTACTGTCAGCAGTTGAACATGTTTAAATACAACTTTATGTGGTTGCTTTTTTAAGCATCAAGTAAACAGAGATAATGCTGGTTATTTACAGATGTTTTATTTGTGTAGCTATTGATTTCTTAAGTTAGGAGGTTTTTATATTAATTCAATGGATTTTTAGTTGGCATTAAATTTTTAAAAGGCAGTAATGATGTCTTCAACACAATTAACTAATAAGTCATTAAGGTGTAAATAAATATTTTCATGACAGCCGTTGGTCAGATTTTGACGATGGTATATACTTCATGATTTTGTCATCGTCATTGACGCTGCCGCCCTGTAGGGCTGCTCAGCCACTTCCTTCCATTCGGATGAATTGTATGGCTTTCCGCCAACGTGCACAAACCCAAAGCTGGAGTAAGTCCTACACCTCAATCTATCTCATTCTTTGTCGACCTATCACCGGTTTTCGCCTTTAGATCATCTTTGTACAAATGATACATTTGTGTACACTTCGCTGGATATTTTTCTGGAATATTTTACTTTCTATTTCCTAGACAGCCAATCGCCTCGCTTCATGTATGGGCGCCTTTTCAGGATTTTTTCAGAAATATTTGATTTTTTTTTCTTTAGCAGGAGAAGCTAGTACGGTATATCGCATATCATCTCAGTCTACATATCTGGAGAGCTCACTAGAAATATTGTATCGACGACATATGCTCGACATCAGCTGTGTTGCAGAGTTTGCCGGAATATGAATTCAAAAATTGTCTTTCCATGAGACCCATTGACTTTGCAGGTTGTGGACTCTAATCCACTTGGGATGCTGGTGGAGTTTCATTTTCTTGTCTGGGCTTTTGCTTGGGATTAAACAGCAGTCCACAGGATGGCATTGACCCAATTTATACCACTCGGCCATTTAGCATTAAATTAATAAATCCATTAACTACTTTATATGCAAACATGGTTCATTACATTTTAGGAACGAAAGTGTAATTTGCAAGCAGAAGTCGAGGCCAAAAAGGAAGCTTGAAGCCAAGGGCAGTGCCACGTGTTTATATGAAACTGTTGATAATTGATAAAATTGTTATGATCCTCAAGGATTAATCAGAAACTCGTCCCTCTCCCTCATAGATAGCACGAGGCCACGGCAGGCAGATCCGGCAAATTAAAACAAGAGCTCAACAAAAAAGCTCGTCATTCTTGCTGAATGAACTATCGGACTGGAACAAGCACCTAAAAGCAACAGTTGAGTAGAGTACACTTGACACATTTGCGTCTATTACCTCCTGTCTTCCAATCCGCAGTTTATAATACAATAGCTGAGTAGCCCTTGCAAACTGTGAAGAATCGGCTTGAAAACCATGCACAGTAACATCGCTATCCCATTAAAACATAAGAGCCAGAATGATAAATAAAATGACTGCGGGCCCTTAAAATATGGAAGATGAAATCAATGTAAACAATGCAGTCTCTCGTCTTATTACTCCCTAAATAAAAATAATGTTGTTTGAAAAATCATTAGAATATTTTTTTTAAATGTATTAATTTTATTTTAAAGGTCATACAATAAAATATGAATTAAACATTTACAATTTGATATATTTAGATCTAAAAACATTAAAATTAAACCAAAAAAAATATTTTAGAAATCAATTATAAATGCCTTAACCAGGCGGCAAATATAATCAATAAAAAATGTCACATTTAATTTTTTTTTATTTTTTTATTTAAGGACGTAAGGCTATTTTATGCTTATTCCTATCAAAGACAATCAGAAACTGGAACAAGCTTCCAGAACAAACATTTGAGACAACATTTTTGTGTCTATTTTCTGAGACCTTCCAACCCCAAGTGCATGATACCTTCGCTGAGTAGCCCTTGCAACCAGTAAAATATCCTCTTCAATACCATTCACAGAAACATTGCAAAGCCCCTCTAAATACATAGGAGTCAGATTGATCAATACATTGATAGTGAGTCATAACGGTATAGTAAAAGAAGAAATGATCATAACTAGGACAAATGTAAATCTTATTACGTACAAAAGAAACCCTTGCCCCCCAAGATCATGTCTTTGACACCGAATCCTTGAGTTGGAATGTGAGATAGCCTGTGCTTGGTATTAGATACATGGAGTAATTTGTTATCAAACTTGTATCATTCAGTATTTCACAGTTGCTTTCATCTCCGCCCAACATTTCATATTGCTGATAATTCAGTATATTCCTTGTTAAAAGAAGCTGTCTTTTCACCTATATAATAAAAATTCAACAGTTGTATTACTTTTTTTAATATTAAAAATATTAAGTCTTTTTTTTTTTTGCATAAATAATTAATGCCTTTTTGTTGTTAGAAAAAAAAATTGAGGTTACCATGAGTTGGCTTTATTACTTAAATTATTACTTTAGGAAAATAGAGTCTACAAATGTAAATATTAATTTTCTATTTAAATGAAAAAATTACATGTTTTCAATTTTTTTCAAAACAGTGTATTATTGTAAATGCACAACCTTGTCAATTTTTCATCTGCACAATCAAATAGCTCAAATAATGTACAGTAATAATTTAAGCCACTCAATATTACCATCATAAGTTTTCCAAAAACATTAATGTTTATACAGTGATAATAAAGCATTTAAGTTTATTGTTAAAATATTCTTTTAAGGAAATATTTACAGGTGTTCTAAGTCTAACAAGTTAATTTTTCGTCATCTATTTTCATCACTTTATTGCATAGTCAATGAATGTAAAATCTTTTGTATTTATTTTACACATTTTTCTGAAATCCTGCCTGGATTATATTATGAAAGATATTACTGTTTCAATTTTACCTCCTCTACTGTAATGTCATCACCATTCACATCGGTAATATTTACTACCTCAAGTTTCTTGTGCTCCTCTTGAGGAAAAATAATTTTTACCTCAATACCATCAGCGTCACCTTCTGTCAAATGAGAGATTTTGTTTTCATATGATTAAATGTAAGTACAGTTATAGCTATTAAAACAAAACAAATCATCAGAAACTAATTATTTGTATTATTTAAAAGAATCTTAAAATTCCATTAATTCAATTTAAACATTGATAGGCCTATATATCCTAAATGAGTTATTATTCAAACAGATCAAAAAAATCTTAATAGTCTAAATCATTTAGACTAAATTGTTAGAGAATGATGGCATCACTATTAATATTTTATTATGATTAACATATTGAAGGTTTAATTTAAGTTTAAGTGCTGCATTTATATTTTATATTATATATCCTCACCATGAGAGGTCATCTGAAATAAGAAAAACAAACACAGGTTATCTTTAATGTAATATTAATATGTATTATTATTGATAAAATTAGACTATTTAAATTAATATGTTATAAAAAATATACGATAAACATAATCATAAACTAAGTTTAAAACTAAAGACTAAAGAGTTACTTCCAGTTCCAGTTTAGTAATTTAACACTATCTTATCTGAGACTATCTCACAATGTTACATGTTGAAACTGAAAACAAATAATCTTTTATTTCAGTTTTCACATTCTTAAGGACGATCCCCTACAAGCATTTTAAAAAAAATATAAATAGCAAATACTAATTAGAATAAATTGAAAATATATAAATATATATTAGAGTTTAGCCACTTTTAAGTTTAAGTTTACTTTCAATTCTTCAAAAGTTTGGTAAACAAATAATTTCGGAAATTCAATGGGAAATCCCTAAGATTTCTGGCAGTAAAAAATCCCAAAATAACTTTTACTATAGGCAGTAAGTCTACTTATCGAAATAAAAAATTATAACCAAACATCTAACTAATTTCATCAATGTTATACAAGACAGATTTTAACCACGAACAAGCTAGATCTCAGCACATACCTTTCATTTCAAGAAAAATGATAGCCATTTAGGTTTTGATAGACTGTTGATTTTTTCAAGAATTATACTGCAATTCGACTGACTTGACTTAATAACTTCCCTATTTGACACTTTATGCTATTTGATTTGGAAAAAAATGTAATAAAATATGTTTTAAAAATGTTTTAACTAAAAAAAAAAAAATGAAATAATTGGATTGGTGACGGAAAATCAAGATAGTTCTCAAGTTTATAATTTGAGTGAAATATAACGTTATGTAGCGATTGAGACTTAGCATGATACTAGAAAAACAACACACATTGAGATCTATGAAAATTTAGTAGGCTTCCAAATGTTTAATGATCAAAATGCTGCAGGAAGTGAATGCAATAATTGAAAGCGCATTAAAGATTAAGGATTGGATCGTTCGAAATATAAGTGCCAAGGCGCTACGACAGTGCTGCCAAAATGAGTAATGTCTAGGTCAAGGCTACGACGGTGCTGCCAAAATGAGTAATGTCTAGGTCAAGGCTATGACAGTGCTGCCAAAATGAGCAATGTCTAGGTCAAGGCTACGACGGTGCTGCCAAAATGAGTAATGTCTAGGTCAAGGCTACGACGGTGCTGCCATAATAAGTGGTGTCTAAGTAATACCATTAGGAAATAAACAGTTTTGCGTCCAATGAAGTCTTCGCATCCAAACTAGTTTCTCACAGGGCCTTTCACTTGTGTTAAGAAAGTCACAAAGAATACTAAGTATGCGTGCCACTTTGTGTTTTAATGGAACCGAGTTATTAAAAATGAAAGTAAATATGAATATATTAACGTATGGTAGACATTGTGCAAATTTTAAGTTACATAATAATATTTCCGGTGGTATTTGATAATATAAAATGCAAATTTAACGTGCACTTAAGACATTGTCTGTGAAGTCACATCTTAGACATGGTTAATTGTATCATAAAAGTCACGTTCCTAAAATATGAGTTTTTTTGGACTGTGTTGCTTTTGCAAGTAATCTCTTCCATTGTTGACTACAGTTATATTTGTAAACGGATATTCTGATATAAGTCGTAGGCAAAGAGATGTTGAGCTATATTTCTATATGTCGAAAATAATGTGATGTGAACATTTATGAAAGGTAACTAACTATTACTCAGGTATCGAAATACTATGAAATACAGTTGTTTTTTTTTAAAATGTTATTATTTAAATGATGTCAAAAAACATCTTGATTCTGATTTTAAATTTCCAAATTTCAAAACTTTTTACGGCGAAGCGTTATTTAAAAATATAACCTCTTTTTTCTTCTTCTATATATTAAGGGCTAACGATCAATGTATTGATCCTTGTGGCTCCTATGCATGAAGAGGATATTAGCAATGTTTCTGTGCCTGGTGTTGATGAATATATTTCACTAGTTGCAAGGGCCACTTTGTGAAGGTATTATGCACTGGGGTTTGGTAGCCCCGAGGTAATAGACGCAGATGTGTCGAGGGTTGTCACCTCAACTGTTTATTTTTGAAATCTTGTTCCAATCCCATATTTTCTTTGGCAGGAATCAGCAGTTGCTATTCTGGCGTCTCGATGGTATGAGCCGGAATTGTTGTCGTAGACGCTTCGCTGTCTATGGGGGACAGGGGCGAGTTTCTGTTTAATGCTGGAGCAGTGGGCCAGCCAATTATTTATCTTGTACATTATGGAGATCCTCAGTTAAATATCCACTCTGAAAATCTTTGTTTTAAGAGCTCAAGACTTATTTAGCTTATGAAGCAGTTTATTACACTGTTGTTTAGCCCATTTAGGGTATAGTAGCTCAACTATTTCCTTTCAAGATGTTAAATATTATTGTGGATATCATTTGAAAATTCAGGTCCAGATGTTTAGCTGGATTATGTATTTTTAATGCTCACCAAAGGACAAGGATTAATATAAATAGTTAAGAATTTTTTTAATAAATTGTCAGCTTTTGCAAATTTTAATCAATAGTTATACTGTTTAAATTAATTCCTTTATATATAAATTGTTATGAATGACGTGTTTACGTCATATTTCCCATGTGCCGTTTTCTCTAGCAGACGCTGCTTTCGTATTGGGCGTGGCTTATTCCTTTTGATCTTGTTTATCATAAGCCTAGCTATTGCCTTTTCTTATTGACTCGAAGGATATAAAGAAGATGATAGTAAATTGTAGAGTGTTACATTCACTAATATAATGCGCAATGCGCCTAGAAACTTCCATGAAACAGATGATAGTCTCTATATAAGGCGAGTGGTTGAATTACACAGCAGATTGCAGAGCAGATACGCAGACAGCCTGTGTTATTTTTCTAACGTATGATAGTTTGTTTACAGTTGACTTCTATTCATTATTGGTCCATTGTACATTTCTGCACGCTGTGTTTTATTTCGACATTGAAGTGGTACCAGCCATATCATTTTATGGAAGTGGATGATTCTAGTTATACATCTTTTATTTTGTAATTATATTGATAACTAAATAAACACTCTTAATTGTACATAGCACTGTTTTGAGTGTCGTAATTTTGTTATTGTATTCCTCATATGGTATCGTCTTTTGTTATGCACTGTTTAGAACGAACTATAACGTAAAACAAGGGATTAATTTTTCACAATAGACATCAGTGCGTAACAAAATATATATATATATATATTTGTATTGTTTAAGGAGATGGTTAAATCAAATTAGGCATTAAATCAGTCAAACAAAGAATTACATGGGTAGTTAAATAAAAACTCTCCTATCAAAACTGAAGAAATCTAAGATTTAAATTAATAATTAACATACTTTACAAAATGTATTTGATATTACCTTGACAACTCTGTGGGATAGGATACAAATTAAATGTATCAACATGTCTACAGCAATACATAGATTTCAGCGTAACGTAAAAAAAAAAAAAGCTGTGAAATATATTATGTATCTTATTCTTACGTATGCCCCGCGTTTCAGCCACGTTTAAAAATTTTAAGAATTTGTATACAACAGTTGTTTCTGCATTTCTATAGGAATGACTTATATGACGGCTGTTTGAAGCTGCTTGGTTTTGGTGGTGGGTGAAAGGGGGGTAATTTTAACGAATACACATTTTTTTGTTTAATTTGGAGGATCCATTCGGTATAGTGAAAGAGATTACACTTGGATCGGGATCCCATCGGGATATGGGATCGCACTCGGAATCGGGATGTTACAGTGATCGGCATATATATATCCCACCTGGAATCGGGATCCCAACGGTATCAGGATCCAATAGGATCGGGAAAGAGATCCTAACTAGATCGGGATCCTATTGGCATTGACAAACCTGGGCCACGCCGGGTATATTGGCTAGTATATACCAGTAGGTCCATACGTAAATATGTAGTTTAAACTATTCAGAATACAAATTGTATGATCAATGAATCTTAAGGACCCATGTTTACAATAATTATTTGCTACATTATTATTTCAGTATGATATTATTTATTACCACAGGTACGTGGATTCTATAATGTATTTTCCAAGTTCGAAAACACAAGGACATAGATTAAAGCCAAAATATAAACTGCCAGGCTAAAGACACACATTTATGAACATTGAAATCTAAATTTGGTAGCGTTTCACTAAATCTATAAAAAAATCATTTAAAACTAATTCTTTTTTCTTCTGTATTATTAATATTTTAAGTGAAAAAGTCCAATCTTTTGTCTATATATCCTATTAAAAATATATAATTTATTTTCAGAATCCTAATTCCTTTCATGGAATGTTCAGTAGGGTCTACATAAAGAAATATAATACATTTGCTGAAAAATAAATTTCTTATTGCATGTAATTATAGACACCTTTCAATTATAAGAACAATATTGCGTATAATCCTTGATTATTTGAGCATAGAAGCCCTCTAAGAGCAGGGTCCAATAAAACAATGACGTGCTGGATTTTTTTTCCAAAATTACAATTCTGCTATGCATTTAGTTGTCTCCTTATATCACAAACTTTTCTGGAGAAATGACTCCTTCTGCTTTGAAACTTATTGAAAATAAATGGGATCCAAAATAAAAAAATCTAAAGCTTTTGGCATTATTGCTGTTTATATAGAATTAATTTTAACAATATTGCGGATCCGTTTGTTGAAAGATTAACAAGTGAAATTTCGAGTTAGCCAGATGTTTGTTTAAATAACATTTAAATAAATTGACTGTATTCTATTGTCACTCGAATGAGAAGTGTTGTTTTTTTCCTGAATTCTATCGGTCACAATATGACTGTTGTGTAAATTTAGCAGGACAAAATCGCATGGGCTGGATTTTTTTTTTTCTTTAGCAGGATGAGATTGTTCACTATATAGCAAAACAACTCACTCAACATATCTGGATAACACACTGGATTCATGTGTTGATGAAATGCTTTGCATCAGCAATTTTGCAGAAGTTTCCTTTAATTTGAATTCAGAATGTGTTCTTATCTTTGTTCCAC